CTGCTATTAGCTGGCCAAGAAGGGATAAGACGATATAATTCATGGGGCCTCACCGAGGGCGCAGAGGACCCCGAGACCGTGTGGGGAAGATTCGAGGAGCAGCTTGACCCCCCTGATAATTTCAGGGTAGCGCGTCTGTGGCTCCAGCAATTCAAACAGAATACGGACGAAACCGTCGACGATTTTGTAAACCGCTGCAAGTTGCAGGCAAGGAAATGCAATTTTAAAAACGAGACAAATGAAACAAGAAATTCCAGACCGCTCCACTCTTGTCGATGCACTAGAGACGAAATAAACCTCCAAACGCCATGATATTGGCATCTGTGTGTAGCTGAATGATCACTTGTTCGAAATATACGTCTTGCAACATGGTACCACAGACTTTACCCAGAATTATATGATAAATCCTGCTCAAATTTGCCGCAAATTTCCCATGAAGCCGATTTGTAAACCGGACCAACATGCCGGAAATCCCTAACTGCTCTATTATATCCTTTGACCAATCACGATAGTCGCCCGTGTGACGTCACTTTGCGCGAAATACGATAGCCGCGAAATGCGCTTGACAACGCGAAAACATTGAGGCGAAAGAAGAAATATTATATCAAAGCGACCAAAGTATCGAACAAAAGTCTCTAAAGTGTTTAATTACAATTAAAAATTTGAAACACGGTATTCTGGGCCTCTCCCCAACCCCAACCATGGCAAAGCCAAAGAACCATATGGAAAGAGCTGCCTCGGCATGGTAAGTGATGCTCATTTATACATGATATAGGCTAGGTTAGCTCCAGTCCAAGAAACGGTATTGCTAGGGTTAGAATACCTATTCTTACGTAGGCGTATATTGACGTTAGTCACACAGCATGGTCGTGTTAGATGTAGCGGATCTCATCTCACGGATTTCATGTTTTTAAAACTATAACTAGAAGTACTAGATGTAAAATTAAACACAACAGTGAGAACAAAAATGAATATTACCATTAGTAGTGGCATTACGCATTAGGCATTAGATTCATGTTAAAATTTTCAAATATTCATTTAGCTGGGATAATAATTTACCAGAATGGCGATCTTTATGTGGTATGCTTATCTCAATATTAAGAAATTCAACTCCAGGAACTTTCCTCGCTCTTGTATTTGTATTTGTAATTGTAATTGCTCTTGTAAATGTATTTGTAATATATATTGTATGTAAAATTAATAATGCAAATTAATGCAAATGAAATATAATTCAAACACATGATATAGGCCTATAAATGTAATCAGGAGTCTATCAATATTGATAGACTCCTAATGTAAATTTAATATGTATTAAGCACTAAACCAAGAACCAGATGGTGAAAATTGTAACTCACCGGCAAACAAGTATTCTTGACATTACATTTAAAAACATTTCAAAACTAACAAATGGTAACAACCCAACGGCGTAACGGGCTATATAGTCATACGAAATGGACTTCAGTGCAGAACAGTTTAATGTAAATATACGCGATAATACAATCACTAAAAAAAATGTGTAATGTTAAATAATAATAAATGATAATTAACGCCAATGTAACATATAATAATAGCAGTACAGAGGGTGCCTTAAAATGATTGAACTCCCAAAAACGTCTGTTTATAACTAATATTTAATTTTCTTCGTTTATAGGCTCGAAAAGGAGTTGGTGGTTGCACCCTACGGCTCTATAATAGCAGAGGACGTGTACAATTGTTATACAAACAGTTTCACTAATTTAGAAGGCAAACCTATTTCAAATTGCTTATTTGGAAAATTGCTGAGATCACAATTCCCTGCAACAACCATATCCACAATGAGAAAGGCAGCAAAGCATTTTAGAATATACCGTGGCATTTCCTTCAAGGAAAACATAAATAACACAATGAGTCTTCAAGACATTGCATCATCTTCAAGACCAGCTCGATGGGTTTTAGCTGACATCAGTGAACTACACCTCAATATGTCCACCTGTATTGCCACCATCGACAAAAAGGTAGTGGAGAAAACCTTAGACATTTCCCATGATGGCAAATGGCAAGTACACGTGGCTAACATCAATGTGTGTAGTGATGAGGCAAGCATGTTGCACCCAGTTCAAGGTAGATTCTCTCGTACGAGTGTAGAGGCCCTCCTTGACAGGGTAAGCAACATGCATATGTGCAGAGGTGGTATCGTTGATGGAAACAATGCCTGCACTACTTCAGGAGTGGAAAGTTTCAAGGCAGCGGAGGACGAGTTTCCATCGCAACGAGTTCGAAGTCGCCAGTGCTCTTGGCTGTTGACGGCACGTTCGCAAATCTGCAAACCATGTCGTCAACACATGCGCCGGTTGAAGACATCATCACGTGAGTCAACAGTGCCTCCTCCAGTTGACTCCTCAGCTCCACCGGCGTTGGATGACGACTGGAGCCTCATCAATGAAGATGATGCTGATATCGCTGCCATTGTTGCAAACTATTTGCCACAAATTAGCGATCATCCGTTGATGCGGGACCAGCTCCTGAGCCAAGAGCAGAACCTGGGAAGACCACCAAGGGGTAGACGGTGGAAGCCGGAGTAAGTGAAAAACGCACAACTGTAATAAGAATTTCAATTTGTATATATTTCCACAAAAATTCAATTGTCTTATTTCAGTAAACAACACGTGTTGTAGTGCTCAGGCTCATTGCACGCAATGATTATGTTTATGCTGTAAAGTAAAATGCTAGGTCCTAACCATGCTATCGTACACAGGATAGTGAAAGCTTGTCTTACACTGTGGGCGAGCAGTCCCAAGACGTACAAGAAGATATCATCACTCGGGATGCTAGTAACGCTGCCGAGTGGACGCCTTCTTCAGTATTACAAAAATTCGGTCCACCAAAAGCCTGGCATCAACAAGAAGATCTTCCGTTGGATGTATGAAGAGGCGAAGCTTAAGAAAGTCCCCCCTCACGGCATGACTGGAGGCATCGTGTTTGACGAAATGTCAATTCAAAGCGATCTTCAGATCATCTACTGTGAGGGTAAAGTAAAAATACTTGGAGTCATGGACATGGGAGACACATGCACTGCTATGCAAGTGCTGAAAGAAAGTAAGTATTCTCAAGTGTGAGCATGCATGTATGGCTATACATATCAGCATAATATTAAATAAATTAATAATTATGTTAACTGTTCAATGCTAAATATAGTTTATACTGATTTCAATTCACAATTTCGCAGACAATGCTACAGCACAACTTGCAACACATGTGTTGCTCTTCCTGTTCCAAGGCGATAGTGGGTTTCGCTTTCCGTTCATGCATGTGCCCACAACTGAAGCAACAGCGCCAGACATCTACATGTTGTTCTGGAAAGCAGTGCAAGAGCTGATTTTGTGGGGCTTCCACGTGAGTACATATTTTGCAATAAAAAGTACAAAACAAACAGTACAACAACTATAGCACAAACATCTTGTACCAGGAATGCCGATTTATCATTATCCAATTACATCACTATATGGAATAGGAAGGGCATAAACAACAAGCTGGGTGTCATTCAAGGTTTTAGGAAGTTACGTGGTATACGCATTGCAATGCGTAAGTTGTAGTGCAACAATAATACGAAGACGCGAAAAGTCACTGATCAGTTGCACATCACAAAACGATGATGACAGTGTCATTTATCTAGAAAAATTTAGAATGAATTAATTACTAGTGGTGACATTTTCTGACAACGTACTTGTTATGTGTTTTCCAGGTAAACTACGCATGCTTTGACGGTGCTGTCCATAACCGATCGTTCATCAAGTCGCATTTCGATGGGTCAGAGTCTGCTGCGGTACGTGCGTTGTTCGTAACGCGCAACTCTTGCCTACCATATCGACCACTTGTAATGATGATGGATCCGAAGGTATTTTACTGAAACATACACATCACAGGTTTTGCATGAAACATTTCTCAAAGAAATGCCAATCATGAGCAACTGATATCATGCTTTAAAATACATGACACTGAACGCATTGTGTGCTTTTCCTTTTGATTCAGCATCTTTTGAAAAAGATACGGAACAACATCCTCAAAAGTGGATTTGGCAAATCAAGCACCCGACTGCTGTACCACAATGCAGGCTACATAACATGGGCCATGTGGGTCAAGGCTTACCAGTGGGACCAGTCGGCCAACGCTAGCGAGGTTTCACGGATTCATCACGTCCTGACGGATGAACACCTCTGACCCAACAGTGGCCAGAAGATGAGAAATAGGCTGGCAGAAGACGTTCTGGATAAAGAAATGCTGTACTTATTCAAGGTAAACTTGTGCTGCACTAGATGGTGCCTGCATTTCTGTAACAGAGTGTGCACCTTTGCACTAATGCCCAACACATTAGTTCAATTTAATTCGTATTGTGTAATTATAGCATTATTTTTTTAACTAGGCTTACCAGAAAGCCGAAGGGCCAAATGGAGATACACTCAATGCCGCCATTCAACTGTTGGAGGTGACCAGTGTGTTCGTGAGCAACTTCACAGACTCTCGGCCAATAACCTCTGCAGCCGATGACCGTCTGTCAAGCAATGCAAAAGCATTGGAGTGGTTTGTATCATGGGAAAACGAGATCACAGGCAACCCTCAAAACACTCCAGGCCTGTGCCGAAGAAAGCTCATGTCCCAAGAGACACGGTTTGACATGAAGTCAACCGTGTTGGGTTTTGCTTCCATTATACAGCAAAAACAAAAATCCCATCCTGGAACCAGTATCACTCCTTCCCGAATCAATAGTGATTCGGTGGAAAACATTTTTTGCCAGCAAAGAGCTACTTCACATGGTGCGAACGACAACCCAAATTACAAGCAATTCATGTACGGAATGAACACCATCATACTCACAGCAGACACAATAAATACAAACCGCTGCAACACAGGTGTAGCGGCTGTGCCTTATTCATTTCACGTGCACAACGCCATAAATCCGAAAAAACGGAAAAGCACTGAGATGTTGTCGCCGTGATGCAGTTCAGACGATGATCATAGATGTCACCGTTTGTGATGCAGTGCCAGCTCACAGATGTCAGTGTCGCTGTGATGCAGTTCCGTACGTTACTTCAGACGATGAGCAGAGATGTCGCCGTGATGCAATCAGTGCCAGGTCACTGATGTCATCATGTCAGTGTCGCCGTGATGCAGTGTCATAGCTTCGCTTCAGACGATGAGCAGAGATGTCGCTGTGATGCAATCAGTGCCAGCTCACTGATAGCAAACGATGTCGCCGTGATGCAGTATCATAGCTTCGCTTCAGACGATGAGCAGAGATGTCGCTGTGATGCATTTAGCGCCAGGTCACTGATGTCATCATGTCAGTGTCGCCGTGATGCAGTGTCGTAGCTTCACTTCAGACGATGAGCAGAGATGTCGCTGTGATGCATTTAGCGCCAGCTCACTGATAGCAAACGATGTCGCCGTGATGCAGTGTCGTAGCATCACTTCAGACGATGAGCAGAGATGTCGCTGTGATGCAATCAGTGCCAGCTCACTGATAGCAAACGATGTCGCCGTGATGCAGTGTCGTAGCTTCACTTCAGACGATGAGCAGAGATGTCGCTGTGATGCATTTAGCGCCAGCTCACTGATAGCAAACGATGTCGCCGTGATGCAGTGTCGTAGCATCACTTCAGACGATGAGCAGAGATGTCGCCGTGATGCATTTAGCGCCAGGTCACTGAATCAGCAAAACGATGTCGCCGTGCATGGCAGTGTCGTAGGGCTTCAGCTTCAGGACAATGAGCAGAGATGTCGCCCGTGATGCTTTTAAGCGGCGCAGGTCATCTCTGATGGTCATCATGTCTAGTTTGTCGCTTGACCGTAGATGCAGGGTCATAGCTTCACTTCAGACGAATTGATGCAGAAGAATGTTCGCTGTGTATGCTAATCAGTGCTAGCCGTCACGCTTGTATCTCAGAGCAACGACTTGTCCCGTGATGCACGTGTCTAGCTTCAACTTCAGACGATGAGACAAGATGTCGGCTGTGATGCGCCAATTTGAGCGCCAGGTCACTGATGTCATCATGTCATGTCGCCGTGATGCAGTGTCGATCAGCCTTCAGCTTCAGACGAATAAGCGCAGATGATCGCTGTGATCGGCAATTTAGCGCCAGGTCACTGATGTCAAATCATGTCAGTGGTTCGGCGCGTATGCACGGGTCATAAGCTTCTTACTTCAGACGATTGACGCAGAGATGTCGCTGTGATGCAATCAGTGCCAGCTCACTGATAGCAAACGATGTCGCCGTGATGCAGTGTCGTAGCATCACTTCAGACGATGAGCAGAGATGTCGCTGTGATGCAATCAGTGCCAGCTCACTGATAGCAAACGATGTCGCCGTGATGCAGTGTCGTAGCTTCACTTCAGACGATGAGCAGAGATGTCGCTGTGATGCAATCAGTGCCAGCTCACTGATAGCAAACGATGTCGCCGTGATGCAGTGTCGTAGCTTCACTTCAGACGATGAGCAGAGATGTCGCCGTGATGCAATCACTGCCAGCTCACTGATAGCAAACGACGTTGTTGTGATGCAATCACACGATGGAAGATGCTGCTAGACGACGGTTCATACAAGCTGGGCACTCCAAAGGCTCCGTGCTTGAAGATACACTGTTCCATGCGACTTCATCTAGCAAGTTTGCACATGCTCGGTGTAGCCACCCTTCACAGTGATCACAACCCACACACTGGCCATCTCCCACATCTATGCTGCATACAGGGCAGATGTATGTCGTCTTTTGCTTCTTCTTATGAGACTTCGAACCAGCAACCGATTTTTGACGCTTGGTGGAGGTTCCTGGCCGAGGCAGACTTACTTGCTGTTGGAGGCCTGAGGGTCCAGGCTGGGCCTCATCTGCAGCCAGTGGCTGGACAACTGCAGTGGGGCCGGACAATCCAGGTGTATCAAAGCATAACGGCTGCGGTATGCTTTCCACTTCAAGGATTTTCCTCCAGAGATTTTCTGCCAATTTTGATTTTGATGCCCGTGTACTCCAGGGTATGCTGTATGCCCGGAAGAACGGTTTCAGCTCGTCCTTAGTGTAGCTCGTGGAGAAGAAGTTCGGGCTTGAATGAAGCATTTTCTGCAGGTGCAGGTGAGTCAGCTGTTTGCCCCGGGACTTGTCTGCTGCAATGGTCGCTGGTGACAATTTTGAAGTTTTATCCAATATTTTCTGCTGTTTAATGTGAATTTGTCTTCTGTGGGCTTCGGTTTTCTTTCGTCCAAATGCCTGGATAAGTCGTTTCCTGAAGTAATTGCTGGCTATGAATAGAAACGAATGGACAAGCTCCCGATACACAGCTGTTGCATCCTCACCTGGCTGACATGACGGCATGACTAGCTGCTGCCATGCTTCCTGCAAGTCAGGCGTTTCCCTGATTTGTGCTTCGACCACATGAATGATATCTTGCTTTTCCAGGTCGAAGAGGCGCTGGGTTTCCAAGTGACCTCGGTGCTTCTCCAGGAGCAAAAAGAACTGGAATGCGTCATCGCTGATGTTCAACAATGACTGCCGGATGTTCTGCTTTCTTGCAGTCTCCTGCAGTGTGGCTGGAACTTGGCTGCTTTGTTGGAGATCTGCATAGGAAGCAGTGAGGTGGTCCAGGAGTTTGAGCCTTGCTATAGTGCTCTTGCAAATCTTCTGCTGGTGTACACCTTGGCTGTACAGAAGATGACGCAAACTGTTCCTGTACCGGTTTGCCAACTTTGCAATGCATCGTCCAGCGACGTAACGTATTTTGCCCATGCCTTCGTCGGTTGCTCGGATGTCCATTAGGGGACGATGCTCCATCTGTTCTCGCTGTTTAGTAATAACATGCGAAGCAGCAGTCTCCAAAATGCTGCGAACGACAGCATCTACGATGGCATGGCAGAAGACCCACTGGTAGTCACCGAGTGCGTCGACAACACAGCTCATCAACGCAGCACACCTCTGCTTGTAGATGTCGCTGTTGAAGAAACTGTGCAGGCTGGTAGTGAAGGCCGTTAGTTCCCTACACCTGACTTGTGTGAATGGTGTCAGTTGTGCCAAATCCTCTGCAAGCATGTCGCCTATCCCAATCCAGTTTTGGGGTGTCAGTTGTGGCAACTGCTCTGCAAGCATGTTGCCTATCCCAATCCAGTTTTGGTGTAGAAAAAGCTGCATCTTTTCATTGCCAGGCTGAAGCAGATTGACGGCGAGTGAAGCAATCTGCTGCTGTATATCAGTCACTGGATCTTGGGACAGCTCAGCAAGCATGTCAGCACCTGCGAGTGGGCACAAGTCAGGCAGTACGTTACGGATACCTTCTTGCAGGGAACAAACCTCTAGGACCGAACGCTCTGCAGGCGCAATATCGCTCGGGGGCGCAGCCGACAACATCTCGTCGATCCTCTGAATCTCCCCCTCAGAGAACGAGGAGAAGTCACTGCCGCCGTCTTCTTCGACATGTTGAGGGAGTGCACCGGTGTCGCAAACCTGGCAGCAACCCAAGTCACCTTCAGTGTCGGCATCGACTAGTTGCTGGTAAAAGTCGATGACAGCCTGGGGATGTTCCTTCACGCAGTTTGATGTGAAGCCAACCACGCGAAGACCATCCCTGTGCGTGGCTCTACCGACGGCAACTCCGAGTTGGCCAGGTGCAAAAATGTTCTGGCAGTGCACCTCCACAGATGGCAATGTCATGCCCTGGCACTTGTGGATCGTCATGCCAAATGCCAAAAGCAATGGCAGTTGCTTCCTTGTAGCAGTGACCTTCTGTTCTGTAGCAGAGTACATGGAGAATAGGTGAGGTGTGATGAGAATAGCCTCATCACAGCCGTTGATATCAAATTTTATTAGAGGCCCTGCAGACGATATCGCATGTACTCTTCCCAGAAGGCCATTAAACAAGGTGTCTGCCAGATTGGCCGTCAAAACCACAGGTGCACCGACTTTTAACGCGACGTATTTAGGTACTCTGGACCTCCTCAACGTGCGCAAGTCTCCAGTGTCCTTTGCAGTCGAAATTGTAGGTTCACCATGGAGCTGGCCCAGCTTTTCAGCGTTGAAGACTTCTGCTTCAAAATTTCTAGCAAAAAGAACAATGGTGTCCGGTGATTGTTGGAGAGGGCGAGATACCTCTGTTAGGAGAGACAACGAGGTGTCTGATAGCAACTGGCCTCTAGCGAGCTGGTTGATACAGCTGATCAAGGTATCATCTTGCTGGCGAAGTACCTGGACCAGCTCTATTGTATGTGGGAAACTGCTGAAGACGGGCGACATGAAGCAGTAGCGGCCGTGATCTCCGTATTGTGGGTTCGGAACTGGAGGTAGCTGGAAGAAGTCTCCGGCCATGATGACTTGCAAGCCTCCAAACCGAATATTAGACGACCTGGTTAGCCTGCAGATGGTCTCAAACGACTCGAGTGTGAGCTGGCTGAGCATTGACACCTCGTCGATGATCACAGCATCTGCAGACTTGATGTTGTGATTGGCGTCCATGTATGCCTCATCAGTAGC